GGGGGGGGGGGGGGGGCAGGCACGTGGCTAGGAGACAGAGCCCCTAAACACACACATACACAAACCCTCAGACTCCAGGACACAGCCTTACACACACTAACACTCTACAATATACACATACAAGTGGACACTCACAGCCTCCAACCCCCTTCTCTACACAAGCTTAGCCTAGAGAGACACATGTAAATATGCATCATTCTTGGAAAGAAAATGCACACTCAGACTTAGATCCGACCCTATAGACAGTGCAACACCCCACCTCCAAGCCATCACGCGTTCCATCACACCCCTAATTGCCCTCATTTACAAATGTGCACCCCACACAACTGTTTTTACACCTACATAGCTCCAAACCCGTGTAAAGCCTCCTGTCCTTTACTCAGACACCCACAGATACACACATCCCTACAGCTGGTGAGATAACCATTTATAGGCAGAAACAGCGTATATAACTCTGCAGACACAGGATTCCCAATAGTTTCAGCCTCAGTCATGCACACACATAGGCACAAATGGCAGGCAATGTCATACTGAAGACCCACACCTGTATCCCTGAAAGATACAAATACGGTTTCTTTACAGACACCAAGATACACAGAATCAGCCCCAGCCCCAGCCAATGGCACCTCTCACCCCCTCCTAGTCATTTATTACTCTCAGGCACAGAAATTCAGAGTGAAAAGTTTCTCTCTGAACCCTCCTCTTTTATACAAAGAGCTCCATGGCAATGTGCAAGCTAGTGAGGTTTGTCATATACACACAGGTGTACACGCATACACGTGTACCCTCAGGCATCCACATAATGTCAGATGAACAACTTCCTCTCTCTCAGTTACTTTTTGGTTTATTATCTTTTTGAGTAATAAACTCAGCTACTATATTATTCTCTTCAGCCCTTGCAGCAACCCCACAAGGAGATTGTTATTATACTTATTTTTTTAATATTTTTTAACGTTTATTTTATTTTTGAGACAGGGAGAGACAGCATGAACGGGGGAGGGTCAGAGAGAGAGGGGAGACACAGAATCTGAAACGGGCTCCAGGCTCTGAGCTGTCAGCACAGAGCCCGACGCGGGGCTCGAACTCACGGACCGCGAGATCATGACCTGAGCTGAAGTCGGATGTTTAACTGACTGAGCCACCCAGGTGCCCCATACTTATTTTTTTCAAATGTTTATTTATTTTTTAGAGAGAGAGAGAGAGAGAGAGAGAGAGAGAGAGAGAGAAAGTGCCAGTGGGGGAGGGGCAGAGAGAGAGGGAGAGAGAGAGAATCCCAAGCAGGTTCCGTGCTGTCAGTGCAGAGCCCCTTGCGGGGCTCTATCCCACGAACTTCGAGATCCTGACCTGAGCCGAAATCAAGAGTCAGACACTCAACTAACTGAGCCACCTAGGCGCCCCTGTACTTATTTTTTTAAAGTACCGTCCGTGCCTAACATGGAGCTCGAACTCACCACCCTGAGATCAAGAGTCACATGCTCTTCGGACTGAGCCAGCCAGGTGCCCCTGTTATACTTACTTTATACCTGAGGAAACAAGCTTACAGGAGCCCCACCTCGAGCTCTAGCGCTCAGACTCCAGAACCCAAACTCTTACCTACTCTGCACTTCTGCTCCTGAATTCAGATTAGGTGCTCAGAAAATCACTACTGGAATAAGAGGCGTTAACCTCAATAGTGAGAAACAGAGACTCTGGAGCCAGACTGCTGTGATGCCAGCCTTAGCATTGCCCCTTAATACCGGGTGACTCTGGACCAGGCATTCAGTCCCTGGTTCAGCCTCAACTTCCTCATCTGCAAAGTGGGGATGACAACAGAGTCCACTTCTTATGCGTGTGAAAATTGAGCAAATGATCCATGTGAAAGGGTTCCTGTCATTACCGGACGGGCTACATCTTCCAGTCGTCATTCTACCAGATGCCATATCAGTTTTTCTTTTTTATGGAGGATGGCAGGGCATACATCAACCAAATAATCGAATATTCTTCTGAATAACTTACCTAAGGGAGCTTCAGAGCCAATATTCCAACCCAAGTCAAGGCTTGCCCGACTTCAAAAAGGAACACAAGTGAACTTACTTTGGAAAAGAAATCTCTCTTCTAACAACTCCCGACTCCAGCAGGGAAAAGAGTCCATATAGGAGTGACCTCGGCAAAATTAGGATTAGCAAATTCAGTGCATTCCATTGGGATACTGGATTTCTTCCTACAGGAGACTGTGGGCAAGTCACTTGGCTTCTCTGAGCCTCAGTTTCCTTACTTGCAAAATAGAGATACCAACACTTATCTCTCAGGATCGTAGTGACAATTAACCATCTATTAAAAACTAATATTTTAAAAGTGTTGCCTCGGTTTCTGGCACTGTATAAATGCCTTACGGTATAAGGTCATGGGGAGTCTGTATATACGATGTCATCGGCATCGTGCATGCACGTCGTCAGAAGTATCCTGCAGGTACAATGTCATCTAGTCTTCACCTTATTCTTTCTCCTGCTCACTAAACAGGATCTAATCATCTCATCCTCCGAGGTGAATTTTTCCATCCTTCTCCACCTGATCCAAGGTTTGTGTTTAAAAAGAGGCTTCAATAGTAACTGGGGAATTCATGGGAGGGCCCCCCCCCCCCGCCACCCCCAGCAGCGGCTCCGCCCCACTGGGGTGTAATTTTAGGAAGGTAATGTGAGCCAGAGGGAGGGTGGGGGGAAGCTAGAGACCCAGCTTCACATTTATTTACTCTGACAGCTAAATTGGTGAGCAAGGGAGGAAGTTAGATGAAAGCCATTGCAGAGTAAATACTAAATACGAGATTTAAACATTCGGGTTTGACACATGGGAAATGAGCAATGGGAAGAGACACAGGCAGTACACCCTTTCCCAGCTCAGGACCCTGTCCTCACCTTGTCACCTTCCTGGGCATTTCCTGCTTGAGTAGAGGAAAGACCACAGAATGGGCTATGGACTGCTTGACCTGGGCAAGCGATTTGCCACCGCCGGCCTCAGTGTCCTCATTAGTAAATGTGTGTGTCATTTGAATCAGCTCATTGGGGAAGTGATGGAAGGAGCACTAGCCCTGGAGTCGGATAGACCCAAGGTCAGTGTCAGTCTGGCCACTTCCTGGCTGGGTGAACTTGGAAAAGTCATTTAACTGAACCTCAGTTTTCTCACCTACGGGGATAATATCAATCTCAGAGAAGTAAAGGAAATGATCGCATTTTAGATGTCAAGTGTACAAGTGTGAGCAACTAAAGTCACCTGAAGTCCCCTCCCGGTTCTGAC